GGGAGGGAAAATCAGATCTCTGGAGGCTGACATGATCTCCTTGCTGTGGGCAACAGATTTATACCCCAAGTACACCTCTATCAGTGATTAGTAGATGTGGTGAGATGGTCCCATACATGGCAATGTGGATATTAGGCCGTGTATTGTGGTGAAATGAACCCCCAGATCTAGTCTTGTTGCAGAGCTGATGGTACAGCCTTCTCTTCAGGGATTGGTTGGTTCCCTTTTATAAGCCATTTGTAGGAGGGGCTTCCATTTGTGTCATACCTACCATCAGTCACTGTTGGAGAACATAGGATTTATCTTTTCTTCAAGCACATGTAGTGCCAATCCAGTAAGGTCAGGACCTGCGTTGAATCAACATTGTGGAATGGTCAGGGTACTGGACCTGCGCTGTGGGAGTGTCGCGGTACTGGACCTGCGCTGTGGGAGTGTCGCGGTACTGGACCTGCGCTGTGGGAGTGTGCGGTACTGGACCTGCGCTGTGGGAGTGTCGCGGTACTGGACCTGCGCTGTGGGAGTGTCGCGCGGTACTGGACCTGCGCTGTGGGAGTGTCGCGGTACTGGACCTGCGCTGTGGGAGTGTCGCGGTACTGGACCTGCGCTGTGGGAGTGTCGCGGGTACTGGACCTGCGCTGTGGGAGTGTCGCGGTACTGGACCTGCGCTGTGGGGGTGTCGTACTGGACCTGCGCTGTGGGGGTGTCGCGGGGGTACTGGACCTGCGCTGTGGGGTTGTCGCGGTACTGGACCTGCGCTGTGGGGGTGTCGCGCGGTACTGGACCTGCGCTGTGGGGGTGTCGCGGTACTGGACCTGCGCTGTGGGGGTGTCGCGGTACTGGACCTGCGCTGTGGGGGTGTCGCGGTACTGGACCTGCGCTGTGGGGGTGTCGCGGTACTGGACCTGCGCTGTGGGGGTGTCGCGGTACTGGACCTGCGCTGTGGGGGTGTCGCGGTACTGGACCTGCGCTGTGGGGGTGTCGCGGTACTGGACCTGCGCTGTGGGGGGTGTCGTCGCAGGTACTGGACCTGCGCTGTGGGGGTGTCGCGGTACTGGACCTGCGCTGTGGGGGTGTCGCGGTACTGGACCTGCGCTGTGGGGGTGTCGCGGTACTGGACCTGCGCTGTGGGGGTGTCAGTGTCGCGGTGGACCTGCGTTGTGGGGGCTGTCGCGGTACTGGACCTGCGTTGTGGGGGTGTCGCGGGGGTACTGGACCTGCGTTGTGGGGGTGTCGCGGTTACTGGACCTGCACTGTGGGGGTGTCGCGGTTACTGGACCTGCACTGTGGGAGGTTCGGGGGGACTGGACCTGCGTGTGGGAGGGTCGGGGGGGGACTGGACCTGCGTGTTGGGAGGGTCGGGGGGAGAGTGGACCTGCGTGTTGGGAGGGTCGAGGGGGAGTGGAACTGCGTGTTGGGAGGATCGGGGGGGGGGACTGGACCTGCGTGTTGGGAGGGTCGGGGGGGACTGGACCTGCGTGTTGGGAGGGGTCGGGGGGGACTGGACCTGCGTGGTGGGAGGGTCGGGGGGGGACTGGACCTGCGTGTTGGGAGGGTCGAGGGGGGGGGGGAGTGGACCTGCGTGTTGGGAGGGTCGGGGGGGGACTGGGGGGCGGGGGGGAGGGTCGGGGGGGGACTGGACCTGCGTGGGTGGGAGGGTCGGGGGGGACTGGGGGGGTGGGGGGGGGGGGGGGGGGGACTGGACCTGCGTGTGGGAGGGTCGAGGGGGGGGGGGGGGGGGGGGGGAGTGGACCTGCGTGTTGGGGAGGGTCGAGGAGGGGGGGGGGGGGGGGAGTGGACCTGCGTGTTGGGAGGGTCGAGGAGGGGGGGGGGGGGGGGGGGGGAGTGGACCTGCGTGTTGGGAGGGTCGAGGAGGGGGGGGGGGGGGGGGAGTGGACCTGCGTGTTGGGAGGGTCGAGGGGAGGGGGGGGGGGGGGGGGAGTGGACCTGCGTGTTGGGAGGGGAGGGGGGGGGGGGGGGGGGGGGGGGGGGGGGGGGGGAGTGGACCTGCGTGTGTTGGGAGGGTCGAGGGGGGGGGGGGGGAGCAGTGGACCTGCGTGTTGGGAGGGTCGAGGAGGGGGGGGGGGGGGGGGAGTGGACCTGCGTGTTGGGAGGGTTCGAGGAGGGGGGGGGGAGTGGACCTGCGTGTTGGGAGGGTCGGGGGGGGGGGAGTGGACCTGCCGTGTTGGGAGGGCCGGGGGGGGGAGTGGACCTGTGTTGGGCCGGGGGACTGGACCTGCGTGTTGGGGGGTCGGGTGGGGGGGTGGGGGGGACTGGACCTGCGTGTTGGGAGGGTCGGGGGGTGGGACTGGATGGACCTGCGTTGGGGGGGGGGGGGGGAACTGGACCTACGTGTTGGGAGGGTCAGGGGTGTGGGGGGGGACCTGCATTGGGTCGGGAAAGGGGGGGGGGTACTGGACCTGCGTTGGGAGGGTTGGGGGGCGACTGGACCTGCATTGTGGGAGGGTCAGGGGACTAGTAAATGTGGGACATAGTGACCCTGAGGTAAGTGCTGTGATGTGACTGTAAAGGAGTTTCCTTGCTTTACCACAATTATGTATTAACTAGCTGGACTTGAGCGCTGAGTGTTGGAGAAATCTCTGGATGTCCAATCTCATCCCAAAAGCAAGTGATTTACCCTTCTAATAATAAACCATGACCGCAGGGGTGACGCTGTCACACTCTACAGACCCCCTACTCTCTGTCCTCCTCTACAGACCCCCTACTCTCTGTCCTCCTCTCCCTCTACAGACCCCCTACTCTCTGTCCTCCTCCTCTCACAGACCCCCTACTCTCTGTCCTCCTCCTCACAGACCCCCTACTCTCTGTCCTCCTCCTCCACAGACCCCCTACTCTCTGTCCTCCTCCTCCGACAGACCCACAGTACCCCCTACTACTCTGTCCTCCTCCTCCACAGACCCCCTACTCTCTGTCCTCCTCCTCCACAGACCCCCTACTCTCTGTCCTCCTCCTCCACAGACCCCCTACTCTCTGTCCTCCTCCTCCACAGACCCCCTACTCTCTGTCCTCCTCCCACAGACCCCCTACTCTCTGTCCTCCTCCTCCACAGACCCCCTACTCTCTGTCCTCCTCCTCCACAGACCCCCTACTCTCTGTCCTCCTCCTCCTCCACAGACCCCCTACTCTCTGTCCTCCTCCTCCACAGACCCCCTACTCTCTGTCCTCCTCCTCCACAGACCCCCTACTCTCTGTCCTCCTCCTCCACAGACCCCCTACTCTCTGTCCTCCTCCACAGTCCCCCTACTCTCTGTCCTCCTCCACAGACCCCTACTCTCTGTCCTCCTCCTCCTCCACAGTCCCCCTACTCTCTGTCCTCTCCTCCTCCTCCACAGACCCCCCTACTCTCTGTCCTCCTCCTCCTCCACAGTCCCCCTACTCTCTGTCCTCCTCCTCCTCCACAGACCCCCTACTCTCTGTCCTCCTCCTCCACAGACCCCAAACTCTCTGTCCTCCTCCTCCACAGACCCCCACTCTCTGTCCTCCTCCTCCTCCACAGACCCCCTACTCTCTGTCCTCCTCCTCCTCCACAGACCCCCAACTCTCTGTCCTCCTCCTCCTCCACAGACCCCCTACTCTCTGTCCTCCTCCTACAAAGACCCCCTACTCTCTGTCCTCCTCCTCTGTTCCTCCTCCTTCCATATACCCTCTGGATAGGATGTTTTCTCTTCCACCCTGTTTGGTCTAACCCAGATGTCTCTGTCCTCCTCCTGTTGCTCCTTGTTCCTTACAACCCTTTTCCTTGTTCCATATCTTCTCCCCCACCCTCTCTGGTCCCACCTGGGTATCTGTCCCCCTCCGCCCTCCTCTTTTCCTTACCTCCCCCCCCTCCCCTTGTTGCATATCTCCCCTCTCCTTGTTCCATATCCTCTCTGGTCCCACCTGGGTATCTGTCCTCCTGCGCCCTCCTCTTTTCCTTCCCTTCCTTCCCTCCCCTCCCTGCATATCTCCCCTCCTTGTTCCATATCTTCTCTGGATCTTCTCCCCCCACCCTCTTGGTCTCACTTGGATATCTGTCTCCTCTGTTCTCGTTCTCCTTCTCTTGTTCTCCTTCTCCTCCTCCTCCTGTTCTCGTTCTGCTCTGTTCTCCTTCTCCTGTTCTCGTTCTCCTGCTCCTCCTGTTCTCGTTCTCCTGCTCCTCCTGTTTTCGTTCTCCTGCTCCTCCTGTTCTCGTTCTCCTGCTCCTCCTGTTCTCGTTCTCCTGCTCCTCCTGTTTCGTTCTCCTGCTCCTCCTGTTTTCGTTCTCCTGCTCCTCCTGTTCTCGTTCTCCTGCTCCTCCTGTTCTCGTTCTCCTGCTCCTCCTGTTCTCCTCCTCCTGCTCCTTCCTGTTCTCCTCCTCCTGCTCCTTCTGTTCTCCTCCTCCTGCTCCTTCTGTTCTCCTCCTCCTGCTCCTTCTGTTCTCGTTCTCTCCTGTTCTCGTTCTCCTCCTCCTCCTGTTCTCCTCCTGTTTTCTGGCCTCCTCTGTTCCTTACCTTCCCTCTCCCTTGCTCCATATCTTCTCTGTTCCTCCTCTCCCACCTGGGTATCTCTGTCCCCCTCCCCTGAACACCCCCTGATCTCACATGGGTTTGGCCTGTCTGTCTCACACGGGACTCTTCTATATCACAGCTTGCACAAGGAGCTCCACATAAGCCTGAATTTCGTAGTGACCTCCTATGCCTGAATTCGGGACTTGGCTCTCTCCCCTCCACACACGAGCTGTCTCGGCCCCCCACCCTCATGACTGGTAAAGGATTGCATGCTTCTGTTTGCACCCTTTGTATGTGTGGTGTTAGTCCTTTGTTGCATGTGATGTTGATATTTCCTCTGGAACCCTTTATACAAATCTTTGTCTTCTCTTTAGTTGCCTTGCATGTACATAGGAAGTCTTTGTACTGTCCCTCCTCTGCCTGTCTGCCATCTTCTAGGTCTCTGTAGGTGTTTAGGTTGGCCCCATGTGCTGGCTGGGTAGTTGAATTGTCTTCTCAGGTTCATTTTTGTTTTCTCAGGTGCTGTATCTCATACCCCTGGTCAATTTCAGGTCGCATCCTCTGCTACCCAGTTCCTTCCTCCCCTCCGGGCCTGTTGGTGAGTCTCATATTCCAGCCTTGATTTTCTCCATTGTCATGTTTAATGAACAGAACCGTCTGATGTCTGGAGGGTCAACAGCCTCCATTCACTGGCCAGGGTCTGCACAGTATGGGATTGAGCACTCATATCTCTCCAGTATAAGGAACGCCTATAGGTGGCCTGTGTTCTAGGTGGAGGTCGGAGGAGTTGGGTACCCAGCTCATTAAATCAGAGATGATCCGTGTTCTAGGTGGAGTCTGGTGGGCACAGTGGTCTCCTGGCTTCCTATGTCCTTCAGAGGAGTCAGGTACCCAGCTCATTAAATCAGTGATGATCCGTGTTCTAGGTGGAGTCTGGTGGGCATAGTGGTCTCCTGGCTTCCTATGTCCTTCAGAGGAGTCAGGTACCCAGCTCATTAAATCAGAGATGATCCGTGTTCTAGGTGGAGTCTGGTGGGCACAGTGGTCTCCTGGTTTCTAATGTCTTTTAGAGGGATCCGGTGCCCAACTCTTTCTGCTTATCATTTCAGAGAGAAACCACATGCAGTTGTGAGTAGAAATAATTTCCATTCCAGGTCTGGGGAATTGAGTGGTTTAAGTGTGGAACATCTACTGAACATTAACATTTTGTTTGTGGGTGGACTGACCTTTGTATGCCCCTCCTATAACCATATCTTCTATCTTCCTCTCAGATCCATTCATTCGGGCTCCTGGATTCTCTCCCCTAGCATCCCTGACAAATGGTGCTTTTGGTGGTTTAGGAAACCCTTCTTACAGTAAGTAGACCAGTTGGGGATTTCTGTGGTTTGCTGGGAGTACTCCATGTCAGGTCTTCCCTTGGTGTGAATGAGAAGTCTGGTAACATTATGTGGGGCCTGTGCTGCTGTTGTATTTTATATAGTTACTATTGGATGGTATAAAACAAGTCTGACTAAGTACACATTTCCACATGTTCAGACTACACACTACATTGTCTACAAATAAAATCTGTTCTGCGTTTTCTGTTTCATGGTTTGTTTTCTTCAATAAAGTTTAAAGAACAGAAGACATGTAGGGTGGGAAGAGCAATGCAAAGAGGAGAGAGTCCCATGGCAAGGGCCATGAATACTGGGTGGAGGAGAATATGATGGATAGGGGAACCAGCAAATTATTACGGTGTGAGTAGGATTTGAAGTCCCCAGGGGTTGGGTTGAGTAGGTAGTTGCTATGGTTTGAAGGCCTCAGCAGTTGGGTGGTGTAGGTAGTGGGTATGTTTTGAAGGCTCTAAGGGTTGGGTGGAGTAGGCGTTGGGCATGTTTAGAAGGCTGTAACGTTTGGGTGGAGTAGGAGTGTTTTGGAAGACCTCAAGGGTTGGGTGGAGTAGGTGGTGGGTATGTGTAGAAGGCTGTAGAAGTTGGGTGGAGTAGGTGGTGGGTATGTTTAGAAGGCTGTAGGGGTTGGGTGGAGTATGTAGTATGTTTTGAAGGCCCCAGGGATTGAATGGAGTATGTAGTGAGTATGTTTTAAAGGCCCCAGGGATTGGGTGGAGTAGGGGTTGGGTATGTTCATAAGGCTGTAGCATTTGGGTGGAGTAGGTGGTAGGTGTGCTTTGGAAGACCTTAGAGGTTGGGCAGAGTTGGTGGTGGGTATGGTTAGAAGGCCACAGGGATTGGGTGGAGTAGGTGGTGGGTATGTTTTGAAGGTTGTAGGGGTTGGGTGGAGTGGGTGGCGAGTATGTGTAGAAGGCTGTAGGGGTTGGGTGGCGTAGGTGGTGGGCATTTGTAAAAGGCCCCAGAGGTTGGGTGGAGTAGGTGGTGGGTATGTGTAGAAGGCTTTAGGGGTTGGGTGGAGGGTACGTGTAGAAGGCCCCAGGGGTTGGGTGGAGAAGGTGGGTACGTGTAGAAGGCCCCAGGGGTTGGGTGGAGAAGGTGGTGGGTACATGTAGAAGGCCCCAGGGGTTGGGTGGAGAAGGTGGTAGGTATGTGTAGTAGAAACCATTCACCTACACCACCCAACCTCTGGGGCTTTCTACACATACCTACCACCTTCTCCACCCAACCCTGGGGCCTTCTACACACGTATACCCACCACCTTCTCCACTACCCAACCCCTGGGGCCTTCTACACGTACCCTCCACCTACTCGACCTAACCCCTGTGGCCTTCTACATGTACCTACCACCTTCTCCACCCAACCCCTGGGGCCTTCTACACATACCCACCACCTAACCCCTGGGACCTTCTACACATACCCTCCAACCTACACCCCCCCAACCCCTGGGGCCTTCTACACATATCCCTCCACCCAGCCCCTGGGGCCTTCTACACATACCCATCACCTACTCCACCCAACCCCTGGGGCTTTTACACATACCCTTCCACCTACACCACCCAACCTCTGGGGCTCTACACATACCTTCCACCTACACCACCCAAACCTCTGGGGCTATGTGTAGAAGGCCCCAGGGGTTGGGTGGAGGGTATGTATGTGTAGAAGGCCCCAGGGGTTGGGTGGAGGGTATGTGTAGAAGGCCCCAGGGGTTGGCTGGAGTAGGTGGAGGGTATGTGTAGAAGGCCCCAGGGGTTGGCTGGAGTAGGTGGAGGGTATGTGTAGAAGGCCCCAGGAGTTGGGTGGAGGGTATGTGTAGAAGGCCCCAGGGGGGTTGGCTGGAGTATGGTGGTGGGTATGTGTAGAAGGCTTTAGAGGTTGGGTGGTATAGGTGGAGGGTATGTGTAGAAGGCCCCAGGGGATGGGTGGTATAGGTGGAGGGTATGTGTAGAAGGCTTTAGAGGTTGGGTGGTATAGGTGGAAGGTATGTGTAGAAGGCCCCAGGGGTTGGGTGGTATAGGTGGAGGGTATGTGTAGAAGGCCCCAGGGGTTGGGTGGTATAGGTGGAGGGTATGTGTAGAAGGCTTTAGAGGTTGGGTGGTATAGGTGGAAGGGTATGTGTAGGAGGCCCCAGGGGTTGGGTGGTATGTAGGTGTGGAGGGGTATAGTGTAGGTTAGGCCCCAGGGGTTGGGTGGTATAGGTGGAGGGTATGTGTAGAAGGCCCCAGGGGTTGGGTGGTATAGGTGGAGGGTATGTGTAGAAGGCCCCAGGGGTTGGGTGGTATAGGTGGAGGGTATGTGTAGAAGGCCCCAGGGGTTGGGTGGTATAGGTGGAGGGTATGTGTAGAAGGCCCCAGGGTTGGGTGGTATAGGTGGGGGTGGTATAGGTGGAGGGTATGTGTAGGAGGCCCCAGGGGTTGGGTAGAGAAGGTGGTGACGCGATGTGTTGTGTGGTATGTTCTGTAGTGTCTCGGTGGTTTCGATGCTTTTGTACTGCGGGGATCAGATTATGGGTGAATTTTGGGGGGTGGGTTATGTGCTGTGGATCATCATTGGTACGTGAGGTTTGGTTTTGCACATGGTGGGGGGAGGGGATTAGGCCAATGTTCAGTGATGCAATTTTTTGGCTGCCAATACACAGAGCAGCTCTAGTTTGGAGGGGGTTAGCAAGCAGCACTGGGAGGTAGGATGTGTGGGAGGAGTGAACTGACGTTAGATTGGAAGTGAACTCCCAGAACCAGGAAGTGGACTCCTCGAGATTCGCTTTACATCCTGATCTCAGAAGGCTACTCTCTGTGGGCGGTCCATAGCGAATAGTGTAGATTGGTGTGTAGACACTACCGTGTTTTTGGCTGGAAGTAGCACAATACGGTAAGTAGAAGGCATGGTCTGCCCTGTGAATGACTCTGCACTGCATTTTCTTCCACACGTTCCTTACGATGGCTTACCTTTCCAGAGATCAGTAATCGTCCCCAAACTTTCCTTCTAGATCCTTCCTCTGTGTTCAGCCAGAAGGAAGCCTCTACGATTCACAACTTCCCCAGTCCACATGATCCTTGGAATCGGCTGCACCGCACTCCACCTTCCTTCCCTGTGGCACCCACTCAGATCTGTGGCAAAGTCGGGGACCTGGATCCACACACCATGCATATGAAGGATGAGAAGGACCGGTAGGTGGAGCCTTTCGTTGGTTTGTAGGTCTACGTGGAGATGGGGGTCACATACTTAATCTTCTTATTTTGCCAACACAGGGACTTGCTTTACTCTCGTTTGCCTCCACGGGTGTCCCCTCTTACACAAACCCCCCGCCTCCCGGGTGCTGAGGAGCGAGTCCCCAGCCGGAACCTCTCCCCATATGTGGCCATGAGACCTGGGAGCAGTTCGGAGATGAAACCTCGACTGACGCCAGACCATCCTTCCAAAGTGAAAGTGAAGGAGGAGCCGGACTTGCTGAGCTTCGAGGTGGGCCGCTCTCCTCTGCCAGGACTCCACTTGCCCCATCCTTCTCCCCCTTTTGAAAGGCTGCGAGGATCTTTTCTGGGGGAGCAGTACCCCAATGCACTGGAAGCCTGGAGAGATGTGTACCGTAGAGTAGACCCGCCTCCTCTCCGCCTGCCATCTGCAGCTCCTCAGCGTCTGTTTGAACAGCGGGAGGAACGAGCCCACATACTGCGAGAAGACTTTGAACGAGCTCGCCTATATGGCCTACCTGCCCATGTCACCATGCAGCCTGCCGCACCGTCTATGCTGGGCCCGCTCTACCATCATCCTGGAACTGGGCTACTGAGCAAAACCCCGCCCATGAATCTGCTGAGTGCTCCACCTCCCCTTATATCTACATCGCGGCCGGGGTCCCCTCCCCGCAGGGACCTTTACAAGGACAGAGACTGCAGATAGGACTGGCCCGGTCTTCTCCTGTACATATTTATATATTCAGCCCCTCCCCTCAATGCCCCTCCCCCCGGGGCTTTTGTACATTTTTATGGTATAATGTGATTTTCAGCACTGTGTTCCCCTATGACCATTCCTTTTTACAGGTTCCGGGGCCGGGGGGAGGGGTAGAACCTCTGTACCCAGGACATCAATAAACCTTCTCTCCGTATTCCACCCCTCCATGGCTCATTTATCCAAACACGGGCTCACTGCCTGCTGCAAATGCTACTTGCCTGGCTGTTCTGCAGATTAGGGGAAAGTCATAGGATTGGTGTGACTGCCAGGCACGTGGCATTTCTCAAAGGTTCATTGAAGGACACCATTTCATGGGTTTGATATCGCCACCTACAGGAGCAGGACGTTGGGCGCAACTGAAATCCTCTGGTGGTGGCCAAACCTCTCCATTTGCAGTACAGAATTTGGTGATTTGGTTTGGCCCCACCCCTTTTGGTTGTCTTTCTAGTACTGCTTTGCTGCATCCTACCTGTGAAGATGTGTCCTCCAAGGAACGATGGAGACATTTGGATTTTGTACTCACTGTAAATTCTTTTCTCTGCGGTCATTGGAGGACACGGCACCCATCCAGATGGCCACCCCCTTCGGCATTCTATTAGTTTAGGTTGCAGTTGGTGTCCTGCTCCTGTAGGTGGCGGCATCAAACTCATGTATGAAGTGAAGCTGTGTCCTTCAATGAACTCCGGGAAGAGGATTGTATGGTGGCTACAAGAATCCAATTTGTGGCAAGACGTCGGCAGTGGAAGCCTCCATACGGGTTTCTCTGACACCGGTCAGTCTGCCCTTTGTCCATGACTTTGGGGGTCATCCAGCTGCTGGAAATTGACCTTATTACCTGCTTGTGGCTTCAGGGACTTTGTAGATAATGGAGTGAGGAGGACAGAACCTGGAAGATGTCCCAGATTTCAGCCCTCATGGGTTCCTTCTCATGGCTAGTGTTTTGTTGTTCCCTTCATCCAATGGGGGCCAGTGGGTGGATGTTGGAGTCGTCTCCTGCATCCAATGGGGGCCAGTGGGCTGGATATCGGAATCGTCTCTCTGTCCAATAAGTGCCAGTGGGCTGGATGTCGGAGTCGTCTCTCTGTCCAATGGGGTCCAGTGGGCTGGATGTTGGAGTCATCTCCTCCATCCAAGGGGGCCAGTGGGCTGGATGTCGGAGTCGTCTCTCTGTCCAATGGGGGCCAGTGGGCTGGATGTCGAAGTCCTCTCCTCCATCTAATGGGGGCCAGTGGGCTGGATGTCGGAGTCGTCTCTCTGTCCAATGGGGGCCAGTGTGCTGGATGTTGGAGGGGTCTCTCTATCCAATGGGGGCCAGTGGGCTGGATGTTGGGGGGGGGGGTGTATGAAGAGCAGATTTCTCCTCAGGATGGGGGGGGGGGGGGGGAATAAGGGCAGATTTCTCCTCAGGACGGGGGGGGGGGGGGGATAAGGGCAGATTTCTCCTCAGGATGGGGGGGGGGGGGGGGGAGATGATAAGGGCAGATTTCTCCTCAGGATGGGGGGGGGGGGATAAGGGCAGATTCTCCTCAGGATGGGGGGGGGGGGAATAAGGGCAGGATTTCTCCTCAGGATGGGGGGGGGGGGGGAATAAGGGCAGATTTCTCCTCAGGATGGGGGGGGGGGGATGGAAAGGGCAGATTTCTCCTCAGGATGGGGGGGGGGGGATAAGGGCAGATTTCTCCTCAGGATGGGGGGGGGGATAAGGGCAGATTTCTCCTCAGGATGGGGGGGGGGGGGGACAAAGGGGGATAACAGATTTCTCCTCAGGATGGGGGGGGGGATAAGGGCAGATTTCTCCTCAGGATGGGGGGGGGGGACAAAGGGCAGATTTCTCCTCAGGATGGGGGGGGGGGACAAGGGCAGATTTCTCCTCAGGATGGGGGGGGGGGGATAAGGGGCAGATTTCTCCTCAGGATGGGGGGGGGGGATAGGGCAGATTTCTCTCCTCAGGATGGGGGGGGGGGATAAGGGCAGATTTCTCCTCAGGATGGGGGGGGGGGATCATAAGGGCAGATTTCTCAGGCATTCAGGATGGGGGGTTAATAAGGGCAGATTTTCAGGGGAGGGGGAATAAGGGCAGATTTTCCTCAGGATGGGGGGGGGGGAAATAAGGGCAGATTTCCTCAGGATGGGGGGGGGGGGGACCTAAGGGCAGATTTCTCCTTAGGATGGGGGGGGGGGGATAAAGGGCAGATTTTCTCCTCAGGGTGGGGGGGGGGGGGGGGGGGGGGGGTAATAAGGGCAGATTTCTCCTCAGGGGGGGGGGGGGGATAAGGGCAGATTTCTCCTCAGGATGGGGGGGGGGGGGAAAGTAAGGGCAGATTTCTCCTCAGGAATGGGGGGGGGGATATGAGGGCAGATTGATCTTCTCAGGATGGGGGGGGGGGGACAAGGGCAGATTTCTCCTCAGGAGACTGGGGGATGGGGGGGGTTTTAGGTTGTAAGGGCAGATTTCTCATCATGAATGGGGGGTTTAAGGTCAGATTTCTATTTCAGGATAGGGGGGGTGATGAAGGGCACGATTTCTTCCTCAGGATGGGTGGGTTGGGGGGGGGGGTATAATTATTAATGTAATTAATTAATAAAGGCAGGAATTTCTCCTCAGGATGGAGGGTGGAGGACAGAGGGGCATATGTTGCTTCCTCAGGATTTTTTGGGTGGGTGGATTAAGGGCAGATTTTCCTTCAGGGATGGGGGGGGGGGGGTATTTATTAAAGGCAGGATTTCTCCTCAGTGATTTGCGGGTGATGAAGGGCAGATTTCTCCTCAGGTTGCGGGGGTGGATAAGGGCAGATTTCTCTTCAGGCATGAGGGGGGGGGGTATAAGAGGGCAGATTTCTCTTGCGATGGGGGGGGGAAATTGGGGAATAAATATTATAAGGGCAGATTTGCCCCTAAGGGCTGGGGGTGATCAAGGGACATTTTTCTCCTCAGGATGGCGGTGTTGGTGGGGGGGGGTGGGGTGGTTTAAAGGCAGATATTTTCCTCAGGATGGCGGGTGATAAGAGCACACTTCTCTTCAGGTCTGGTGGGTTAAGGGCATGATTTCTTCCTTAGGATGGGGGGGGGGGGGGGCAGAATTTCTCCTTAGGGAATGGGGGGGCAGATTTCTCCTCGGATAAGGGGGCAGAATTTCTCCTTTAGGATCGTGGAGGGGGGGGGATAAAATGGGTATAAATAAAGGGGGGACAGATCTTCTCCTCTGGAATGATGGGGGGGGGGGGTGAGGTGCATGGTGTGATCAGGTCAGATTTCTCCTCAGGATGGGGGGGGGGATAAGGGCAGATTTCTCAGTCAGGATGGGGGGGATAGAATGGGGAAATAAGGACAGATTTTCGCCTCGGGATGGGGGTGAATATGGGTAGATTCCTCCTCAGGATGAGGGGGGGGGATAAGGCGGCAGAGAATTTTTCCTTAGGATGGGGGGCGGGAGGTCAGGGGGTAATGGGAGATGTTCCTCAGGATGGGGGGAGGGGGGGTGTAGGGGCAGATTTCTTTCCTCACGGATGGGCGGGGGGGGATAAAGGGCAAGAATTACATCCTCATGCTGGGGGATGGGGGGGGGGTGTGATAGGTGAATTAAGGACAAAGTTAACCTCACTCAGGAATGGGGAGAGGGAGGAATTATAGGGCAGATTTCTCATCAGGCTGTGGGAGGGGGGGGGGGAGGGGGGGCAGATTTCTCCTTAGGTGGGGTTGAAAATAAGGGCAGATTTCTTCCTCAGGATGGGGGGGGGGTGGGCAAGAGCAGATTGTCCTCAGAATGGGGGAAGGGGAATAAGGGGCAGATTTCTCCTTAGGATGAGGGAAGGGGTGAATAAGGGGCAGATTTTCTCCTTAGGATGGGGGCGTGGGTATTGTGTGATAAGAGGCAGGATTTCTCCCTCAGGATGGCGGGGGAGGGAATAAGGGCAGATCCTCTCCTCAATGTGGGAGGGGGGGGGGGGGGGGGGGTTTAGGGTGCAGATATGTTCTCCTCAGGTATGGGGGGGGATATGGGAGAGATTTCTCCCTCAGGGATGGGGGTGGGATATGGCAATAGATCTCTCCTCAGGATGGGGGGGAGGGGGGGGGGGATAAGGGAAAGTATCTCCTCCCAGGGATGGGGGATTAAGGGAAGATATTCTCATCAGGATGATGGGGGGGAGGAGTTATAAAGGGCAGATTTAGACTCAGAATGGGGGTATAAGGGAGCAAATTTCTAATCAGGATGGGGGGGGAATAGGGAATTAGGGAAGATTTTTCTCCTCAGGTTGTGGGGGGGGCCATAAGGGGCAGATTTCTCCTCAGGATGGGGCGGGGGGGGGGGGGGGGGGTATTGTTAAAAGCAGATTTATCTTCAGGATGGGAGCGGGGATAATACTAATATAACGGCGCACAGATTTCTCCTTAGGTTGGGGGGTTGGGGAGATGGGCGAAGATCTCTCTCTCAGGATGGGGGGGGGGATTTGGTTAAGGGCCAGATCTCTCCTCAGGATGGGGGCGGGGAGGCGTTGATTAAGGGCACCTTTAAAATCAGAGGGGGGAGGGTTAGATAAATGGCAGGGATTCTCCTCTGGATATGGGGGGTTGATTAAGGGCAGGTTCTCTCCTCAGGTTGGGGGGGGGGATATCAAGGAGCAGACTGATTTCTCCTTCCAGGATGGGGGTGGGATAACGAGCAGGATTAACGCAGATTTCTCCTCAGGATGGGGGGTGGGAGTAGGGTTAGATTATCACCTTAAAATGGGGGGGAGGTGGTGGTTAATAGGCCGCAGATTTTGCCTTTGGTTGGGGGGGGAGGGGGATATTGGGCAGAGTTTCTCAGCTCTGTTGATGGCGGGGATAAGGTAAAGGAAGATTTCGCCTCAGGAATGGGTAAGGGGGGGATAAGGGCAGATTCCTTCTTAGGATGGGGGGATTAGGAGCAAGATCTCTCCTTAGGATGGGGGGGGGGGATAATGGGCAGT